TGTTTGAAGAAGAAGAAGAAGAAGAAGAAGGTGAAATTTTGATGAGGCTTGCAAGGAATTATCATCATCATCACCTTAAACTGTTTCTTGACCCTTGTAAGTGTTAAGCTTCCACTTTTATTGTTGTTTGTGGCCAGATCCAAATTTTGTCCCACTTTTCTCCTTGGTTGAGAAAGTTTGAAAGAATGTAAATCATAAAAAGGGTAACTTTATGGGTGATAAGGGTGTTTAGAGTGTCATGAAGTTTAGTTGTAGTGGATGATTGGGTTTTGAACATTTGCATGAAAGTTGGATGATCTTTTTTTTCATTAATGGTCCCATATGAGATATAGACATGTATTGTACATACATGTCCATATAACATCAACTTTTAAGTGTATTGTGGAGTAATAATACCTTCTGGAAATTTAGAGTAAAAGGTTTAATGGATTTAGGGTTTAAATGGTTGGATTTTTACTTCAGACTGTGCTCACGATGTGAGACATATGGTCTCATGACCTAAGGGTTAAATGACCCCGTTTTTCGTTAAGCTCCTTGGAGCTCACTACTTGAGAGAAGGCTACTCACATCGTGAGGTTAGCTCAGGTGATTTTCTTTGACTGAGTTTGGCTAGATTAGGTCGAGACGAGTTTGAATCAGACCAAGTGGATTCTCACGATGTGACCAAGGTCTGGTCACGATGTGAGGCTGGATTGTTAACATTAAGGGTTGTTGACTTTTGACTTTGACCAATATTATACCAAGTTTGACCTAAGGGTATTTTGAGTGGTAACTGAGTTTGGTCACTATTTGCTGTATAGGTGACTGGTAGAGCTGATATTCAGAGTGGTGCCCTATTCAGCTATCTGTTCAGATTAATAGGTATGTTTTCCTAACTGTACTTGTGGGTCAAAGGCACCAAGGCCAGCCAATTGGATTTCATATCCTGGGATATATGATTGTTATTTTCCTAAGTATGCTTAGATTGGTAGATCTGTATGACTACTTGTGTTTACTTGGTATGTGTTAGATTGGTAGATCTGTATGATTACATGTACTTGCTGGTTATTGATTGTTATAGTATATTTCGACATATTACGAGGGGTGAGGTTGTCTGCTTTGTGTTGAAGGCTACGATACCTAGGGTAGTCCAGATAGACTGTAGGCCTGCAAGGTGGTCCAGCCAGGCCGAAGGCCCAGAGAGTGGTTCAGATAGGCTGTAGGACCTACACGGTGGTCCAGTTAGGTCAAAGGCTCGCAAAGTGGTCTAGATATGTTGTAGGATCGGCACAGCGGTCCAGTTAGTCTGAAGGCTTATATATGCATGTTGTTATCTGTTTTGTTATGCGTGGTACTTTGGGGAACTCACTAAGATGCAACTTAGAGTTTCAGTTTATTGGTTCGAGTACTTCAGATGATTGTGGCAAGACGAAGGTGTGATCGTATACATCCTTCGATGACATGTTTTGGAGATTTATAATGCACTGATCTTGGGATATTTGTATTTTATACTTGGTTATGATATGGGTTTTTGTTGGAAACAATGAATTCTTTTGATTCAACAATGAAATTTTTTATCATGATTTCGGGATGTTACAAGAGGACATTTGCCCACCGTTTTAGGCCATCACACAAATTGTCACTTTTTTTTTTTATGTCAAACCGACATGAATGTTTGAAGTCTAATGTGTAATGGTAACTCGTGTTTAGTAAACTATTATGGAAACAATCATATGAATTACTTATCACCTTTAGCGATGAGAAATATATAAACTGAGAATACTCGGTTTTCAAAAAAAAAACCTATGCTATAATGCAGTGTTATCCTAGTGATGGGTATTAGGAGGTTGTATGTAGGGAATAAGACTAATCAAGGTAATTAACTTTTTGGTTTGTTCACATGTACATAACTATCTTTTTTTTTGTACACATCTAGGTAACAAACTTTTTGGAACTGTTCACATATGCCCATTATGACCTGCTATAGTAGGTTACATTCAGCTACAATAGGTCATAATGGTTACATGTGAACACTTTCAACAATTTCGTTACCTAGATGTGTAGGAAAGAAAAATAGTTACCCAAATATAAACAAAACCAAAAGTAAGACTAAATTACACGAACGGTCCCTGTGGTTTGGGGGAATTTATGCGTTTGGTCCCTAATTTATTTTTTGAATTCGAATGATCCATGTTGTTTATTTTTGTTACGCTTGGTCCCTGTCTTACCTAAAAAGACTATTGTGCCCTTATTAATTTAATTTTTTTTAATTAATTTTCTTATTTATATATTTTTTATATGTTTAAAAAACTAATAGACCCCCCATATTTGTATCTCCTGACTATCCCATCTCTCACCATCATCAACTTCTATTTCTTTTTCCATCTTTAGTGATATCGACGTCTTCATCATCAATTCTTTTTCGGTCCTTCAACTCCAGCGAACCAACACCACAACCTATTAAAGTGAAGAGTCAGTGGGCTATGGTATTTGTTCGCTAGAGTTGAAGAGTAAAAAAAAGGATGGTGAATACTTCCATGTCACTAAAGATTGAAAGAAAATAGAGGTTGAAGAGGATGTGAGATGGGATGGTGACCGGTGGGACCCATATTAAATTTGTCAAATGTGGTTTTAGGTTTACGGTAAGGAGATACAGATATATGGGGTCTATTAATTTTTTTAAACATATAAAAACAGAACATAAACAAGAAAATTAATTAAAAAATAAATTAATAAGGGCACAATAGTCTTTTTAGGTAAGATAGGGACTAAGCGCACAACAAAAATAAACAGTAAGAACCATCCAAGTTAAAAAAATATGTTAGGGATGAAATGCACAATTTCTCCCAAACCATAAGGACCATTCGTCTAATTTACTCTTACTTCTGGTTTTGTTCATATTTAAGTAAATATTTTTTTTTTGTACACATTTAGGTAACGAACTTGTTGAAAGTGTTCATATATAACCATTATAACCTGCTGTAGCTGGATGTAACCTGTTACAGCAGATCTTAATGGTCATATGTAAACAGTTCCAAAAAATTTATTACCTAGATGTGTAAAAAAAAAATAATTACCTATATATGAACAAACCAAAAAAATTAATTACCTTAATAAGTTTTATTTTGGTTGTATGTATGTAGAACATCTCTCAAATTTTGATACCATGTAAAGAATTTGTGGCGGTTAAGTTTTTCAATAAAGGATTGACCGTAGGTAGATGGAGTTTTATTTAACAGTAAAAAAATAAATACCAATAATTATAAGATAGAAAGTAAAGGAGAAAAAAATTTAACGAAAGAATATTTGTGTATAACATATATTTTAAAGAGATAATAATAACCTATAGAACCACACATACAATTTTGTAAACCAGACAATCCACGTTAATTTTTGCGTTCTTAATTCTTAAACATAAGCCACGTTAATTTTTGCATACTTAAACGCAAACTGCTGAATGATGTACATAAATGGACGTAATATACCAAGTCGAAAATGTTTTTGGAACAAGTTGAGAAATTTATAAATATATGCATAAAACATGGGTCATGATTCATGAAACACCATATTAGATTCTGCACAATTTTCTAAAATAAGAACTAATCACTCGCTGGACCCACACCTATGCATGGACCAGATCAAATGAAATCGAGAACTGGGTCCCAACTGCACGTGGGGTCACCAATTTCCATCATTCATTTTTCTTTTTAATTTTTTAGTCTTGCTTGTGCTCACTCTTTCTTTCCTTTTTTAAATATTCAAATTTTATTTAATATTGTTTCCCTTAAACTAATATTAGTTTGCATACCATTCCAAAAAATCTCAATAATATCTTATGCCCAATATAAGTTACACAATATTTAAATTTCAACATATTTGTTTCCCAATAACTTATCTATTGATGTTTTCCAAATCAATAGCAATAACAATTTTATATATATATATATATATATATATATATATATATATATATATATATATATATATATATATATTAAAATGATATATTATTATATTAGTTGAGTGGCAGTGCCAGCAATGGGTTGAATTATAAAAAGAGGAAAGAATGATCAAAGCTTGTTCCCCTGCTGTGATAAAAGGTAACTTTGATTTTAGGAGGGTGTGGGCTCCACTTACCTGACCCCAATACCTGGACTGATAAGGTTTGGGTCCCACCATAATTATTCAAATATCTAAATTCCAATAATATTCACCCATACAAGATTACATTGACCATTGTCACAAAACCTCATTCTTTATTTTTAATTTCACTATCCAATAATCATTTCATTTAAAAATACGTATATTTTATTTTTAAAAATGAATCTAAATACTAAATACTAGTTTTTTTTCTTTTTTTTTTTAAACTACAATTAATTTTCTAACAATAAAAACAATTCGTATGAAAAAAATGATACTACAAAATTGGAATAATTATTATATCAAATATGTATTGGGTGATATTATCTATGTTTTTATTTTCAATACTTTATAAGGTATACACTATACACAACAAAAGTGAATGATGACGTCATTGTAATTATTTTTACCCATGGTCAAAATGAGATAATTTTTGTCTTTCTAACTTCATAGGATTGACTTAAAGTTTAACGGAATTTTATAAGGCATTGTTGCAGTTACCAAGTTCTCAGTTGTGTTTGTGTTTTACAGACAATTATAAAAAACTAAAATTAAATTAAAATTAAAGTCAAAATAATGGCAATAGAAAATAGAATTGTATAAAAAGAAAAAGCAATGAATTCATGGTAAATACTAAAACGAGACCTTTTTCTTTTTTTTCTTCAATGATTAAAACCAACAATACACCCTGTTAAAATTTGTCTCTCCAAACACTTTGTAAATCCTCAAAAATAATCACACAAAATTAAATATAAAAAAAAAAAATCAGCAATAATTATGGGGAAAAAATTAAAATTTTCCAAAAATTTTGGAGGAAATCAAACCTTATGTGCGTTTTACACATCAAATTTAACAACACAATCATGGAGGCCGGAAATCCTTTATGAGTGGTGGCTAGTTGTATCATGGGGATCATCTCCGCCGCCGTGATGAGACTGAGATCCACTTGCTTGCTGTTCAGAGCCACCTGGACCGAATATTGGCCGGTAAGGATTTAATCCGGCGAGCATGCTCAATTGGCCTTCAGTAAAACCACCACCACCACCACCTCCTCCTCCTCCTCCTCCGCCGCCGCTGCCACCAGAGTTGCCGCCAAGCCCTGCCGCCAATTGCTGACTTGGCATAAGGGCGACGGGTGTTGGGAAGTTCATGAAATGTAAGCCGGTAGAAACAGTGCCTCTGTACAAAGCGGTGTTGTTCACTGCCGGAAAAGTCCAAATAGGGTCTCCGCTCATCGCTTGGTGTTGATTAGAATTGGCAACCATCCAAAAATTAGCTGGAATTGATGCGTGATTTGCTACCATGGAAGATGAGCTTGATTGAAGAAGATAATTCCCCATCTGTTGTTGGTGTTGTGAAGGTAGCTCAGACTCCGCCGGAGCTCTACGTTTCCTTCCGATGCTATCTTCAGTTTCCGATAACTCAACTGAATTATCTCTATTTTCTTGTTTCGTTTGTAATATCTGGTGAAGATTCGTTGCAGACCCAAAATTCAGAAGGTTGGATGAACTATTTTCCGATGAAGATAATCCAATTCCCGGGAAGAGATTCCGATTTTGTGGGATAGCGAAATTTGGGTTAAAGTAACCGGATCGAAGCTGTGAAGGAACCGACATGCTGCTCCCGGAGCTCCGAAGTGAGATATTGAGTGAAGTGAAGTTCGCCGGGATTGTACCAGTTCCGGTGGCGGCGATGACGGCGGGTTCAGCTTGTTGAAGGAGCCACTCGATGGTTTCACCATCTGTTTTATGACCAAGCTCTCGTGTGAGCTGAAAAACCCTGGCGGCGCAAAGGGCTGGCATACGGATACGGCGGCCTCGTCCATCAACCTTTGTGTGGCGGTCTTTGGTTGACGTTCTCTTGGGCGCCAATTTCTTAGAGGGGTCGCCGGAAGAGGTGGTGGCGATGGTGGTTATTTGGAGGTTTGAACTGTTGGATCGAAGTGGAGGGTTATTAGTGTCGGTGGAGATGGGTCGAGAAGGGTAACCAGTGGTGGCGGAGACGGTGGCGGAGGAAGAGCAAGCTTCGTCGTCTTTCTTTTCAAGTAATTGAAAAGGGAAGTTGGGGCGGTGGTTGAAATGGTCATCACCACCATCCATGATCACATGAGATAATCTCACAGAGTCTCTCTCTCTTTCTCTCTCTAGTTTCTCTCTCTAAACTTATATGGAGAATTGATGGAGTATGTTGATTGAATCCAAGGGGATGTGGGTCTGGATTTCTTTCTCTTTCAATACCATATAAACAGTCTCACTCTAAAAATGTTTAACTCAAAGTTTCATCCAATTGTCCGATATTTTGGAGAGAGAAAGAGAGAAAGAGAGAGAGGAAACTTTAAGTAACAAAGACAATGAGTGGGAATTATATGGGTGAGCTCATAAAAGCAAAAAAAAAAAAAAAAAAAACAAAAAAAAAAAATTTAAAAATTAAAATAGAAAAGAAAATAACGTGGTTAAAATACATATACATATTGAACTCATATTCTGAATAATAAATACTCGGTTGGTATAATTAGATTAAGCACGACTTGGATGAATAAAGACATGATAGGTGTTAAATAGTGATTACAATATAAAATACTTCCTTATGATTGAGAGTGGGGGAGTGAAAACATTAATGCAACATGAAATTAAGGAGATTTTGGATGTATTTTTTTAATAGTCACTTAAAAATCACCGTGTAAGAAAAAAAAAAGTATCCTATTATTGGGAAATTGTCATGTAGGTGTGTCGTTTGGCTAGAACGATCCATCAAATTTGGTTGGTGTAAGTGTGTAATATTTTCAAAATAGATATAAAAGTTCTTGTCGTTTTTAGTAAAAATAATGTTTTAAAAATGAATAAAAGAACATCAAAATAAATCAGTTAAATGATTTAAATATAACTAATTAAACAATAAATAGAGTGATAGAAATAAATCAGAAGTTTAATATAATCAAGTTAAGAATTTTTTGTTATAAGAATTAAAGTTTTAATTTGTGAAAGTTGAGATTTGATAGTGTTAACCAATTAGAACTTGAATGTCATAAATTTTTAAGTGTCATAAGTTATTATATGTAGATGGGTTAATTAGAGAATTATTAAAGCTAATAGTTGTTACTAGTCAAAATGGTGGCCACAATTAGGAAATATATAGTTAAGGGATCAAAAATAACCACTAGACCAAAGTTAGATTGATTAGTCATGGGTTAGTAATGGACCACCTCATTATAATGATACTTTAGGATATATGACTTAAGTGTAAAATCAAGAAGTTCCATTAAAGAAGCTAGTGAAATGGTGTCAAATCTTTGAAACTAAAAGCATGAGAGACTAATTTGCCATATAGTGAAACATACGAAATCAACTAGGTTGATAGTATCTATATTTAGGGAGATCGACTATAAGAAGGGAGAGAGAGAGAGAGAGAGAGAGAGAGAGAGAGAGAGAGAGAGAGAGAGAGAGATCATTAATTTTGATTTGGAGTAATAGAGAAGATTTAGAGTTAAGGTGTATGAAGAAACAAGTTAAGGATTCAACATCAAGAAACTCTTCCCATTCTAACCTAAATCTTAAACTAGGCTTGCTATACTACTCCAAATATGAAATTATGAGTTAATAATGTTGTTCTAGTAGTATTTGGGTGTTGAATGAAGCATAAATTATGATTCTAACATCAAACTTTACATCAATGAGCTTTATTTCAAGTTTGTCACTTGCACATTAACAGACGCAACTTTAACATAGTTGGAACATCTAATGCAGGTATTTGCTATTTTAATGTTTTGATTTATTTAAATAATATAAAATCCCAAATAGATGGTCACGACATGAGGAAGGAAGCCTCACGACGTGATCATCGGGCTGAAACGCGTGCCCGTCGGTCACGTCGTGACGCATAGGTAGTCAAGATGTGAGGATAGGTTTACCTTAATCCCATGATTTCTGTCGTATTTAATAGAAGTGGGGGGCTAGGGTTTGCACACCCTCAACCTCCATCACCTTCTTCCTTCCCAAATCGAAGTTAGCCTCCTTTTGTGACCTTAAAGAACTCATATAGTGATTTTTGGCTCCTTGAAGAAGAAGAAGACTCCTTTGGTGCGTCATTTTTGGCAAGGAAGTCCCTTCCTCACCATCTTGTATTGCTTCTGAACCATTGAAAGTCCTAAAGTTCTTGCCTTTCTCTATTAAACATGTTAAATCTAAGTTTTATTCACTTCTCTTTATGGTTGATTTGGATAGCATGCATGGGATCCATAGAGTTAGCAACTTTATGGATCATTGAGACCTCTTATTTTGGTATTGTTTTTAGATCTGAGGTTTAGTGGTGGTTCTAGACTCCAAACATGTTTTTTTTTTTTGGCTTCATTATATGTTTATTGACCTAGTTAATGTTCAAGTCATGCATTGGATATGCATGACTAACAAATCTTTGATTTTTATGATCCTTTGGGTTGGGGAAGACCTTTTGGAAGGTCTGAAGGATTTTTTTTTAAGGGATTAAGAGCTTAATGCTTAAAGTTGTCCATAACAGATTTCAAGACGTGGTGAATGGCATGTCACGTCGTGACGAGGCGTGTGTTCGTGACTGTTTTGTCTTGCTCCTATCACGACGTGACCTATAGGTAGTCACAACGTGATAATCGGCTGAGGTTGATCAGGGTTGACTATTGGGTCAAATTAGGGTTTTAAGGGAGTAGAGTGAGAGGGTATTTCTTTATTGTTGTTAGCTGGGTTGTTTCTCCTGTCTTCCTTGTGTGTGAGAGTTGTTATATTTCTAGCTACTATTCACGAGGTGAGTCATCTCACTATAGTTTCTTATATCGTAGATATGTATGTTGACCAGATAGGTCTTAATTTTTGTTTGCTGCTATCTGTGAACTAATTTAAGTGTTGCTAACTTTGGGATTGTTTAAATTTCCCAGGGTAGCTGTTAACCCCTTAAACATGTTAATAATCCACTAGGCGTGTTGTTAGCTCACTAGGGTTCCTAATAATCCCCAACATTGTTGATAACCCATAGTTTTTAGTTATGTTTTGTTGTATGTATATTTTTGGAAGGACTCGCTAAGCTTTATTCTTATAGTTGTGGATTAAGTATGTTTTAGCTACTTCTGATACCGAATTTTTGATACTCTGATTTGGTATGATTGTACTTTACATACCTGGGATTTTATAGACTTGGGTTTTATAACACTTGAGGTTTTCTATATTAAAAATGAAATTTTTTGTTGAAAATTTGGGTGTAACATCCCAAAAATACCGAGTAAAATTTTCAATTTTAAATAAGTCAAACCACTCATTCATTATCTCAAAGAGAATCAGAATAAAAGTATTTTCAAAGCATCTAAGTAATTCGTAAATATTTAGTGCTGAATAAATCTCCAGGGGATGCAGTGTGGTCAATCCGGGCCCTTCCTTTTGATAGAAGAAGTACCTGAAAACAATTCGAACTTATACTGTAAGCACAAAGCTAGGTGAGTTCCCCAAAATATCACATACACCATATTTACAAATATAAAAGTATGTGGCTGTGTCGGTTCCATATCAACCCTGTGTCCATAATAACTCTGTGTAACAGCTTGTAGCTGTGTTGAGTCCATTTCAACCCCTGGGTCCGTATCACCCCCGAGCCCATAATGACTGTATATAACATCTTGTAGATGTTTTAGGTCCATATCAACCCTCAGGTCCATTTCACCCTACATACATAATCTTACAAATATATAAGCATGAGTCACAAAGACAACAAGCACATATAGACATATCAACAAATGTCACGAGTACAGTGAAGAAACTCACCTCAACGATAACAAATACATCTCACAATCGAGCTGCTGGTACGAGAACCTCCCCACACGACACATATACAATACAATTGTAATTAGCAATTAAGGTAATTATACCAACTTAGAAAGTCCAAAATACCAAGGAAAATCCTTATTTGGGCAAAAGACCATTTTGACCTTCCAAGCCTTAAATCCTTCATAGTTAACCAAGAGTTAAATTGGTCAAAAAGTTAACGGGAAATTTTTTGTTGACCTAGTTTCTGCATACTATCTCTACGCTAGGCATAGATCCTTAAGCCTGAAGCCAAAATTCATTTATACCACTTATTACATTAAGATTGTAAGATTCATAAAATTCTTGAAAATTTTGACTTTTTAAACAAACCCAAAACCATCATTGATTACAAATTGTTTTCAAAATAAGTTTCATATAAGAGAAATCCAAAAATTATAAAACAAAATATGAGGAGATGCACGAACATGCCTTCGCCTTCCCGCGATCCTCTGAAGTACGTAAAACGCAATCCAAAACTCTAAGCCCAAAGCTTAGTGAGTTTCCCCAAAATACCATCACCACACAAAACCAGAATAATATCATAAACAACATGCATTCAGAGCCTTCAGTCTGAGTGGAACACCCCATCGACCTACAGTATATTTGGTACGCTCACAAAACCTACAGCATGATTGGTACGCAACCTTCGGCCTTCAACCTATATGGAACATTCTTTAGGCCTTCGGCCTAACTGGTACGCCTCACTGTCCTTTAGTCTATCTGGGACGCCCTGGGTCTATTGATCTTCAGCACAAAGCTAGACCGCCTCAACTCAACCACACATAACATGTTGACATATACATTACACATAAACATATAACCAGGAAACAGACAAATAGAAAGATCTTACAGATCACTAAGTATAGTATCATCCTATCTACCAGGATACAGATCTAATAGATCACAATAGTACTCAACCATGCAATAATCAGGATAACAATCCCAAAAGGGGGCCGACCTTGGTTACTTCGACACAACAAGTATAGGGAGGAACACTCACCTCTTAAATGTCAAGCTGCACTGAAATCTTCAACTGCTGACTCATATAAGGCCTCAAACGATCACAATAAACAAACATCCAATTACCAATTGAAATACTATCCTTGACTAAGGACAAATACATAGGGTAAATTTTCATTTTATCCTTTCCCTATTTGGGCCAAGCCCCAAGTCCAAATCTTGATCTACAATACCCAAATTACTTCAAGGCCCATAATTAGTCCAAGCCCATTGGGTCCAATAAGGCCCAATATACAACCCTAGGCCCAATAGGACAA